AAGCATATTTCATAGAATTAAATAAGATGAATAGTGTGGTGAGTAAATGGTTATACGATGTCAGTTTATATTCAGGTGAGTGCAGAGGGATATGATGCTGGTGAGCCAATTGATTTAGAAAAACTGGATGGTACATGGCGTCTTCAGTATAACTCTGCTTCTGATAATAGAATGTTTTATGCCGCCAATCCTTGAATTATCTTATCTTTAGCAAAATAACAATTTTACCTAACTCCCTCCTCTCCATATCTTCATAACTTTCAGAAAGCAACTCAGTAAAACCCCAAACATCCACCCAGAACAATCTACGCCCAAACTCAAACATCCAAAACCCTAAACAACAATGAAGAAGAAGACCCAAGCCCAGCGCACCTCAAACATCCAAATAGCAACCAAAGCAACAAAAAAAGAAAAACAATTGTAAATGAAAGATGACCTGTAAAAACAACAAAACAATGACCCTGAAGAAAAACACTATCAAGATGCAAAAAAAAAAAGAGAGAAATGAGCAAAAACCAGGAAAATCACAAGAGAAGGGCATAAAGACAAAACCTTTTTAGACCCATCTTGGTTAGGGTTTAGGGTTCACGCATGAGGCTCCAACCACCGCATAAACAGTTCTGACCACTGCCACCACCGTTACCGGAAAAAAAAATGGAGAACATTAACAAAATGCAAATAGCCACAAGAAAAAGAATAACCGCAATTGAACCCACAACAACAGAAAAAAGAGAAGCAGGAAACATTACCAAGCATCAAAAGCTAGCACTCGCCGCATCGAAAAACCGTGATTTGCTCTTGACAGAAAATTGAGAAGTAAATTCAGTGGGGGATATAGGTAGCCGGAAAAGGAGTGAGAAATGAAGGGAGGAGAGATAGGTAGCAGTAGAAGATGAGAGAGAAACGGAGAGAGGGGAGGTAGGAGCATGCAAAGAGGAGAGAGAAACAAAGGAAAAGAAGGGGAAAGGCAACGGTGTAATAAGGTAGAAGCAGCAAGGGCAAAAAAGGAACAACTGTAGACATCAACAATTTAAACCCCCTATTGGCTTTTTTTTTTTTTTTTTTTTTGATAGGGATAGATGATTTCATTCACACAATAGCCATCTCGGCATCTACATCATCATTTGAACATAACTGAAGCAGAAACTACACCCACAACACCTAAACTTGTTTCTATTCACGCTCATCTCCATTAAGGTGGTTCCAATCTTGAAACCATGTGAATTCTTCGATGTCATTGCATCTTTCAATAATTCCTTCACCAACGGCGCTGTAGATATTATGGAGTAAGCAACTGCACTACAGATTAGATCTTCTTGAGTCAAACTCATCTTCCCCAACACAACAACCATGAATACCAAACCCACCAAATGAACCAAAACTGAGATCAGGCGGAAACCCACAGTCGAAGCCCTTGGGTCCTTAGTCGGAAACTGCTCTATAAAGCCAGCCCCGTAGGTCCACTCATGGACGACCCGTCTTAAAACATTTGCCGCAGGAAGCGCTCGAACAACAGAGGAAGCAATGGTGGGTGGCTCCATAACTGACCCAAAATGAAAATTATTTATGAACAACTCAGAGATCATCAACTGGGTCTTATTCACCAAACAAAGATTAAACATTGAAAGAAGCATAAAATTAAAAGGACGAACATCCCCAAAAACACGAGTTGTAAAACTCGGTCAGAAGCCAGCGAAATCCAAACAAGCACCAGATCAGACTTAAGGATAACGGCACAAACCTAACCCGTTGCAAAAAACCGGCAACCTTAAAACCAATCAACCAAGTCTAGACCTTGACTCGCACGAAACGGATGGATTCAGATCGCGCTTCTTCCGGCCGACAATAAACCGACGTTGATGAGGCCTAGGGTGGGTGACTCACTGGCGCACAAGGAAGGGCTATAACCCGACCTCGGCCGGCGAGCCCCCCCGATAAAACCAGCAGCAGTGAGAGAAAAGGACAGGGAAGGTGGGCGGGAGAAGTAAAGGGCGACAATTGATGAAAAGGCAGAACCAAGAAATGGATTAGGAAGTGGAGAGAAGAGGAAGAGAGAAAAGAGCCCACCCTAAAGGCAAGAAGCTTCGAATCAGAAGCACAAAACCCCTTCCAAGAGAGAAACCCTAGAAGGAACTTCTCTCTCTAGAATAGAGAGGCAGCACATTGAGAAACGCCCCCTATTGGCTTTTATAGTAGTAAAGATAAAGGTAAAGATGTCTTCACTTTTCAAATTTTCCGAGGGACAATTTCCTTATACTTAAATATCTCTATATAATGAGGTGAATTCAACGAGATACTAATTGTTATAGTATTTTTCTTTGTATAAATAATTGTTGCTAGTCAAAGTGAAATTGATTAATAATACTCTTTCAATCATTTAAACAAGTGAACATTTGTGTTTTTCCATTATGTAGTTTCTTATTTGATTCTTTTTTTTTTTTTTTTTGACGAGGAAGAAACATTATCATTAATAATAAGCCATACGGCATCTCTACAATAATAACACAAATCTACAAACAATAGAATTAGAGAAAATACACAACTCTTACGGTCAAAACAATTACTAATAAGCCTTCTAAAGCACAACTCATACCCACTGCTTCAGTCTTGACGTAGGCAGTAATTTTCGATGTCTTTGCATCGATGCAGGTATTCAATTGATGTCTTTACAGCTTTCAAAAATTCCTTCGCAAAATGAGCACAAATTCTTCTGAGCGAAAAGTTGATGAAAAACCCCAATTCTAAATGAATCCAGAGCATTTCCCAATTATTAAAACCCTAAAAAAAAAAGAAAAACTCTTCCATAGATGAAACAACAAGACCTTGAATATAGGAGGAACCCTAATAATAGGGACCAACCCAATCAAATTATTGGGACCAAAACACATTAAAAACACACACACCAAAAAAAAAAAAAAAAAAAAAAAAAAAAAAGATAGAAGAAAAGCGGCGGAAATAGACTATTTCTGCCTTAAAAAGGCTATGAAATTGGAACCCTAGGAGAGAATAAAGAACAGAGAAAGGAGGGAGAGAGAGGGGGCGGCTAAGTTGTTTGATTCATTTTCAATGAGATATATTATTCATCATATTCTAATTTTTAATGTGATGCAACTAAATACATAAATAACACAAAAAATATCTTCCAAGAAGTTACCTTTCTTGACTGAAAAGAGTAAAGAGGGTACATCGGAGCTGAGACAGAGACTTCCCACTGCACCTTCCACTACTTCATCGGCATTTTTCTTCTTACCTTTTACTTTCTTCCTGAACTGTAAGAAATGTCAGTAGTAACAAAGAACTGAGTTAGATAAAATCTGAAAGAAGACAGAAGTAAGTCCAAAAGCATCAACAATAGAACATGAATAAAACAAATGTTAGTCTAAAACAATCCATCACAGGATTCTCTACTCTAGTCTGCCTTATAAAAACATTATCCCTAGTTGCATGAAGCAAGATCCTTTCAAATGCCATAGATTTCTCTATGGGTACCAAGCCTGCAAAGAACCCCCAGCTACACAGACTTTGATGGATCAATCGACTTGTCCTAAACACATATTAATTGAAATTTATGAAAAGGTATAAAAAAGGATAGAAGACATGAAAAGTACAACGCATATGACCAAATTAAGTATTCTCTGCATTTTGTTGTTCCAGTTCTCCATACTAAAAAGGCGCACTTCTTTGAGCTGGATAGAAGAATTCTCCAACCTGACGGACATATAAAAACACATAAGTTTCGATATTTGACCTAACCAATATAATTAACATATGAATAGTGATACAAATTAATTTACCTTGTTCCAAAAATAAAGGTGTGTCCAACGACTCTTCATTTTGCTAGAAGCCGCGCTACTTTGAGCTGAATGTAAGAAATCTCCAGCCTGAAGGATAAAAGAAACACACAAATTGACTTAACCAATAAAAATAACACAAGAATAATGATCCAGACTATGTATCCTGATCCTGCAAATTAAATAATTAACATTTTCCAGAAGTTTGCTGCAAAGGATAATAAGATGATGATGATAATACTAGTTTCATTTATCAGATAATCAAGTCTCTTATACTAAAGTCTAACCCCTTGAACTACTTCCTTTTAGATCTACAGACTACAGGATTAATAGACGTTATGTTGTTTGGCTTCAATTTGATCATCACAGTAACACACATGATCCTGCCACTTTAACCACTACACTCATATTTTGGTACTTAATCTATTTTATAAGAAAAAATAAATATAAAAAACCTTATATAAGAACGAGCTAATAGAATCATGATTAACTTACCTCCTGTAGTTTATACTTAGAAAGCTCCTTATAAGTGCACTATAACTTATCATTGCTTAAATTCATCTCAGAAATCACAATGAACAGCTTCTAGCTCGCGCAAGTTTCAACTAAGAAAAAATCAAACCCGCTAGTAGCTCAATTAGCAAAGCTTGTAATATTCCCTTCAAACAAAATGCTACAAGTATTCAAGAGAAGAGTAGAGCCATAAAAATGAATAAGAAGAAAGAAGGTTTCCCAAAATACCTCCAGATAATCCACTTTGATTTCAATATTCCAAGAGAAAGACTTGGTGGAGTCAAAACTTGTTTCTTGAAATATCGCAATCTAAGAGCCATCTCCGCACATCTTTTAATCTGTAGAAAAGAATCACCAAATCCAATCAATCAACATGCAGAAACACTACAATGAAAGTAACACACTTAGATATATTTATTCACCTGGAGCAGTTGGTTCACCAGTTGCCTTTCTGACCAAAGTCCAATAAAAAGACAGAAAGTATTCCCTTCAGCGAACCCGCTTGTAGCTCAATCAGCAAAGCTTGTTATATTCCCTAATACCTCCAGATAATCCACTTCAATTTCATTCCGAATGAAAGACTCAATTTAGTGTTTTGCCCATCTGTTGCAAGCAGCAGGCTGCTGATAAAGAATAAGCTACTGGGAGCATACTATCTGATCTGAAGGAGAACTTATACTTAGCAGCGATGATCTGAATCAGGTGTAAAGTCTGTGGACAGTGAAGAAGAGAGTGTTTCATCCAAGTGAGTTTCACAGCAACTGGACAATGGAACCACCTACTGATTCATTCCTTGAAACACATTGGATCGTCCAGGACTGATAGAGGGCGGCAGAAGACATATAAGAACTCATTCTAGCCAGCACCGGCCAAGAAATTAAATCATGTGCATACTATACACCAGCACACCTGTGTAAAATTGTTCTGTGTCGCTCTACTTACTAGTTATTAATGCCTCCATTTTGGCCTTCTTGAAATGAGAAAAGCAGTAAAATACATTAAGACATCAATCTAATCTCCAATTCCCACATACATTAAATTGTTGAGTACAAAGTGATCAGTAACAACAAATGGGGGAAGAGAAGTACAAATAACTTACATGATGATGTCAATCAAGTCTACATCAAATTGTAAACATTAGGTCCAAGCGACCTGAACAACAATTTTTTAATTTTTTTTTGGGGGGGGGGGGGGGGGGGGGGGGGGGGGAAGGGGGAATAATATTTAACTTAAACAGCAACGTCAAATTTGTTGAGTCTCCATATCCACATGCATGTATCCATCGAACTACACAACACTTGCACTTCATTTCTTCAAAGTGATCGCCGTTCCACGTACAACTAGAGATTCTTCAGTGATAGCAAGCTGTTTACGTGAAGATGTGGGAAGTCAAAATATCTTCGCCACCTAGGGGGAGTGACCAAACTTCCCGTCTTCCAATTATATACAAACCAACGCAAAGGACATGCTATGCTTGGTTTCCACAAAGCCAAAAAACCAAAACTCCCCAGTTTTCAAGCTCATATAAAGAGGTATAGCGACTCCAAACTTTGAGGGATTGAAATGTCTCTGAAGCGCCAAATACATACCAGCTGCATCGAAATTCATACATCTACCCCAAGGGCCAGTTTTTGGTCCTATCATTTCCCAGACTTTCCAAAACTTACTAGGGTTTTGCCAATATATTATACCTGCACCACCGGTGTCCATTGGTATACAGTAAGTCTTCACCTTGCTGTTGATAACGCTATCTTCTGGCGCTTCGAATTGATACATGGTTTCAGCATCTATATCCAAGGCAAAACCAAGAGAGTGACATATATCAAACCAATAGACATACCCCGCTGCAATAGAAAACGGATGACTCAGTAGTGTCTGCTTTGCCTTGTTACTCATAGTAATGCCTTGACAGTCAATGTCAATAGCCCTCCAAGTTTCATCAACAGCTACTGTCCATACCATAACCTTAACTTCAAATCTGGCAAGATGATCATCATTTTTTTCACGTTGACGATATGGTGAACGTGGATATTTGGGGACGAAACAAGGACAAAAGACTTTGTATCGACCAGAAGAAGGTGCAAATGCTAGAACAGCAGAAGGTTTACGATAAATGCATACCTTTGGCAGGGTGAGGGACAGGGGAGGGAGACTGATGTTGGCTTTAGTTACAAGATTCACTACAGACAATTCTTTTGGAATGAAGGCATTTTGAAGCAAGAGTAGTCCGTTACAAGAAGCCAAAATGAAGGCCTCAAATGGAAGCTTAAGTATACTGACAACACGATCATATGGGTGAACATAATAGGCCTGTTTTAGCTTAGCATCATCCAGGTCATTGTCTTGAATAAGGAAACCAGTAGTAGCAGGAGATGACATGGACTGAAGAAGGTGGGCTCTAATAAAGTGCGGGTCAGAGATAATAGCATTCCACTCCTTGCAAACGAACCTCACAATCTCCTGAAGAGTGAAGCACGAAGAAATAAAAAGATGTGAAACATAATTTCTCTGGGAATAGACCAAGACCAACTCGGCCTCTTGCTGCAAGGAGCAAGTGTTGGATATTTTCCTGAAACCTGAAAATTTTGATAAATTCACCCATTCAATCATCGATTCATTCTATGATATAATGTTAGTTTAATTACATTACATGGTTGGATATGGTGGTTGTATATTGCCGTTGCCACATACTCATATGCATGCCTAGTTTCATATTGTGTTATAATTTTACTTTTTAATAATATTAGGATTAATACTCATATGCGGCCTAAATTCCCAGGATATATGAACAATTTAGGCCCCTCCTGCCCGCCCCAGGGACGGGCCTGTAGATGCTTTTGCTAATATTAATTCAATTGTTCTAGAACCACCCAGTTGAAGCTAAATATTAATCATGTGATTCAGTAGCTTATTGTTATAATACAAAAAGTCAAGATATTCCCATACAATTGAAATCAACCTTGATATTACTTTTATTCTTAAATACAAAAAGAACTCAAATTGAGCAGATAATGTTTATAAAAGAAAGCACTTTCCATTTTGCCAAAGTATTCATTGTGCATCCAAAACAAACCCAAAATTGATCAACATGAATAACAATAAACATGCCAAAAAATACAGATATTCCAAAACACCATTAACATGATACATACCTCCAAAGCCCCAGACCCGGTGGCGCGTTCATTCCCACCGTTAACAAGACGGCCAACAAACACCTGACCAAACCCACCTTTCTTCCTTTCTACTTTATAAATAGGAAAAGCACCCACTTGAACCTACAAAAACAACAGCAAAACCAAAAACATCGATCAAAAATCACACACACCATCATTCATATAAAATCGACTCGATTCACAAATTCAATTCAAATCAACATATATCAATCAAAAAACCACAAAATCATTATTCAAAATCAACTCATTTAACAAAATCAAATGAAATTCGTTTTAAAAAAGATTACCCTTTCAGGAAAAGGGGATTTATTTCCATCATCATCATGTCCAGTTCCCTTATTAGCACTTAAACCACCACTATCATCTCCCAACATTTCTTCTCTGACTTCTGATTCTCTCTCGTTTGACTCACTTTCCTTCTCCGATATCACAACCACTGGTACAACCTTATCAACAACCTTCTTCTTCTTTCCACTATTATTCTTAGTATTATTGATTACCCTTTTGTTGTTGTTTGTTGTTCCTTAAATTTGCCCTTTTTCACAGCTAACCTAGTTCTCGAGGATCCTTAACAACTTTTTCTCTCTCCTCTTCAACAACACCAACTACTGCTACTGCTTCTGCTTCTCTCGCAACAGCTGCGCGAGTTCGAATGTAGTTACCAACCAAATGAGTCGATTTCTTCTGATTATTATCAACGATATTCTTCTGCTTCTTATTCGTCGTCGTTTTGACTGAATTTCCACGTTGAAGCTCTGGCATTTTCGTCTTCCCATACAATCGAAATTTTTTGATTCTGTGTTTTCGCTAGTGTTACCCATCATTCGATCTATTACCTCAAATTTGAATAGGATTCCGATTGCTTTTTTTTTGAGTTCGATTCGAAATTTCGATTGAAAAACGAAAATGTAGGGTTTTGAAGAGTGATTTGGGGGAAAAGAAGTTTCGAATTGGAATTGGAATCGGAATTTGGGAGATTTAATGAAAGGGTGAGTTTTTGCTAATTAGGGTTTGTACTTTGTAAGTTCGAGTGTGTACGATGATGAGAGAGAACGGAGATGAAGTCTGATTTTTCTTTTTTCTTTAATTATTATTATACTAGGGTTCATTTTACAACAATTTGGGTGGTTCAAATTGGGTTTTTGTTTTCGGTTTGGGGAAAAAATATGTTACTTTTTAAATCGTATTGTTGTTTTTGCTTAGGTTTGTTACATATTTTGTTTGTTTCCTGTTTTTTTTTTTAAAAAAAAAAACAGGAAAGAAAAAGGAACTTTTTTGTTGTCAGTTTTTCAAAACATCCTAAATATTTTGATTCATTATTACATATTCATATATGCGCCATCACAGTTAAAACTAAAAACCAAAAACCCACAGCCCACGAAAACCACAGCGATGCAAACGAACCCTTAGTTTTATGTTTTAATTAATTAACCTAACTATTCCCACCAAATTTACCCATTCTCCTTTAAATTCCTTCATCACTCAACTACCTTCATTGAATCTGCATTCAATTCAGATTAAAAATGGTTGAGTCAATTAAATTCTGGAATTTTTTTCCAGAAACCCCACCTCCCCAAACCCTACCTTTTTAAATTTGTCACTCTCTTACTCTCTCTCCTCTTCGCCTCCTCTTTCTCCTCAAAAATTCTGGGTTTTTTCCTCTTTCTCTCTCTTCGTTTTCTAGGTTTTCAACTACGATTCACCTTAATTCACCCTTAAAATGTCTTCTTCTCAACCAAAAATTATAGATCTGGTAAGCCATGAGTCCCTTTCTTCTGGATCCACACGATCCCCACCTAAACCTGGTGCTACCACGTGTATACCTCGTCGTGGTTCTGGTGTGATGAAGCCACTCCGTCGTGCTTCTGTAATTGCTCGTAGAAAGATTGTAGGGGCGAAGCTTGCTGAATACATCTCAAGCGACGAGGATGAGAAGCCGACAAAGTGTTCTGGGTCTAAAAGGCCTGTTCCGCCATCTCTCGGCCTAGATCGGGAGGTTGTTTCCACCAAAGAGGGTGGATCTGCTGCTGTGGTGGCTGTTCCAGCTGCTTCACCACCACTAGACGCCAATTCTGAAACTTGGTCTTCTTTGTTCCAGGAGCTGACTGCTGGGGAAGTCCTTCAGCCACCGGTTCCCATCCCATGATGGGTGGGAGTACGTCTGGCCCTAGCGCTGGTACTAAGCGCCTGAGATCCGGCTTACCAAGGGGACAGGATCCAGATGACGTACTGGTGGCTTACCTCCAAATCTACTACCCCCAGTAGTCCCTTCCCCCATACTAATTGGGCAGCGTAATTTCTAATACCCTAATCTTCTTCTTTTGTTCCAATTTGTGGTTAATTATGCTATTGATGAGACCCTTGTTTTTTGTTATGCTATTTCTGCTAGTGTTGGTTGTTTGGGTATGAATTGATGAGTCCCCTGTTATGTTTGGATTTGTTGTTTGGGTATGAATTGTTGGTTGTTTGGGTATGAATTGTTGTTTGGATATGAATTGGTCTATTGGTTGACTTGATTAGTTGTGCTGGTGCGTTGGTGGAATGCTGGTATGATTTTGTTGACGAGTCCCCTTTGTGTGATGCATTGAGTCCCCTCCACACAACTTGCATCGTATTGAAACCCATCCAAATGATGAAGGGACTCATCTGATAGCTATTTGAGTGTCATGGCTGCTCTAGTTACCTCTGTTTGAGGTTTCTATTGAGGTACCATAACTCATTGATGCCTTGAAAGATAACTGTAACCCTTTCTGATGGATGATTAGTGAGAAAAAAAGGTTATGTTTGCATTAATAACAAAAGGTTGTGTTTTTTACAAAACCAAACTTAAGTAGCATACAAGACTGTCTAAGAATGTGTAACTTAATTATGTACCAAAATACACCTAACCAATACCAACAAAAACAACAAAAAAACATGTTAAGATTGTACTGGTTATGTGTGGCAGTCTTTGCCTTAGCTGGTATGAGTTTGCTTCCATGTATTCTTCAATCTGCATCAACTTCCATTTGGAATTCATTTGCACCAGTACTTGGGATTGTGATTGAATTAAGATAGTTAACAACTTCTGCAATTAGTTCCTTGTCTACCTCTAGCAAATCTGGTAGAATACCTTGCCTGTATAGACTTCTTTTTTTCATGTGTGATGGTGTGTAGTTGTTTCCTCCTTTTCTTGTTAATACCTCAATCATGCATGACTGTAGTGTAATCCAACTGTATTTGTTCAACTCTGGATCAAATCCTTTGAATGCTATTTCAACTTCTTTGATAAGATCATCTAAATTCTGAGGGAATGACTGATACTGCAGTGATTGAATGACATTGAAGAGTCCTTAGTCTAGAACATTCATATCTGGTGATTGAGCTGGTTGAAAACAAACTGTATGTTGAATCCATATGCTTGACATGCTACTTGAAATTCTGGATCTTGTGGTATTTGGTGAGGCCTAGCATTGTCCCATTGAATAGTTATGTCCTTGGGCAGCTGTGGGGGCCATTGTGCATGTATTGTGGGCAACACATGATTAACTAGCATGTCCCTTATTTCCTCCTTGTTTATACTCTGGATTGCCTTAGCCTCTATGGTCCCCTGGCTTTGTCTCTGTTTTTACTCTTTTTCTTTGCTTCCTCATACTTCATAAAAGGGAATAGACCATACTTCCCATCATGTAAAAGTTGTTTATTTGCATCATACAATGGTTTCCCTATCATGCCCATAAACATAGCCTTCACCTTAAACCTTCTGGACTGTTGTGCTCTGTATGGATTGTCTTCTGTTGGAAGAAGATAGAATGTCCTTGTTTCTGGGTTTATAAAAAACCACTTCTCATCAATGTGTATCCATTGTTGCATGTCTTCAAATGAAGGGTCCCCTTCAGCTGGAATTGGAGTGATGTGACTAAGAACCCATTTTAGTCTTGCTATTTTATGATTAACATCACAAAATAGCAAGACTAAAATATTTGCTAAGAAATTAACATCACAAGATAATATGGCATTCGAATCCCCCTTGTAACATCACTCCTTTTTTTTGGGGGGTGTTTTATTTTAACCATACCACTCGACTACTCCCTTATTCCTATTTCCCAACCAAACCCAAATTACTTGTATTGTGTACCCGTTTTTTTAAATAGGTTGATGTTAGTTGAATTATCGAAATTGTCCCCCCATTGTCAAATTTCTAGGTCCACCACTGTCCTCTTGGTCTGCAATTCCCACGCACCAAACTCCATAGTTTTTCTTGTTTAAAATTAGGAAAATTTTCAAAAAACCACCCAAAAATGTGTTGAATTTCTAACTAACCACCAAAAAAAAAATTTATTTTAAAATACCACCCATTAAATTAATTTTTTTGCTCAGATTCCCACCCAATTTGAAAATCCGGTGGTTTTTTTAGCTTAAGGGGCCCAGTTTAGTTATTTCCCTCTTTTTTTTTTCCCTTTTCTCTCGACTTCACTGTCTTTCACTCTCTTTCTCATTCAATTCTCCCAACTAACCCTATTCTACAATCAAATTTCACTCCTTTTTTCAGCGAATTCCCCCTTTCTTCATAAATTGCTGTGCATTGTTCAATTCAGAACCCTAAATTCGACATTAAAACCCTAATTGTACTTGCAACAGGAATTAATCTAGAGTAATTGCTTGAAGTGGGGTTGTTTAATTGCAAAAAAGTCGCCATCTTTTGCTGTTTACCGGGGACCAGGAGCTCAGGTGAGGAACCTGACAATAGCTCAGTGCAATGGCGTCGAAAGAGGTAAGCAATTTTGTTGTTTGTGTTTAATGTTGAAGGTTGTTGGTTGTTGATGGTATATTTGCAATTATGTGGAACCCTAATTAATGAATCCCACAAATTCCCCCAATTAACATTTTGCAAGAACCCTAATTTTTCCAGATAATTGAGATTACCTTGTGCGAATTCAAGTGATGTCGTTGCTGCAGATGCAAATGCAATTAGAAGCAATCTTAATTTTGTGTAATTTGGGGAAAAATTTTGTTTAGGAGCAAAAATTGAATAAGGAATACACTTGTATAGGAAAAATCGGGGGAAGAAAATAAATAAAAGCATACACTAGCCGTTAATAGCCGTTATGTGGGCCCCACAAGCTAAAAAACCACCGGATTTTCAAATTGGGTGGGAATCTGAGCAAAAAATTAATTTAATGGGTGGTATTTTAAAATAAATTATTTTTGGGTGGTTAGTTAGAAATTCAACACATTTTTGGGTTGTTTTTTTTGAAAATTTTCCTTAAAATTATACTGATTTTCATTCGACCATTTTTGCCATTGTTATGCAGTGTTTCTTCTTTGGCTTCCTTCATGTCTAATCCGCTGAAGTAAGCTGTTTTTAGAAGGGAATTTGTTTATGGTTTTACACTTCTATTTAGTACTGATGAGCTGGTGCCAAATATCTTGCATTATGCCATTATGGACACCCAGATGTTTTCGATAATATAACACGTGATGGTATAAGCAAGGCTTCTCGTGTTATAAATATCAGTGAAGATATATTCTCAGGTAGGTTTTCTAACAAGATTAGATACATTCAAAGATTTCAAACCCTTATCAGGAGTTGTACTTTATGAATCACTAGTTATACTAGTCTATTAGGTTAGGTTTATGTTATTTTTAAGGGTCTCTTACTAATAGCATACTTTTGGTCCATGTGTTTTGTTAAATAACTAGGGTTTGAATTTCAAACATGTAACTTAATTAATTTTTATATACTTTAAGACCTGTACCTTCAAAATTTCAAACTCATCATTTGTGTGTGTGATTTGTTCATTAATCAAGGTTTAAAATTCAAATTTGTATATTATCATATACCTTGTACTTTTAGGACGTGTACATTATAGATATAAGAAATGAACTCCTGAATTGTACCAAAATTTGTAATTTATAATTTATTTATTTATTTATTTTATTTATTATTATTATTATTATTATTATTTTGACACATTTACAGAACTACCTTATAATTGTTTGGTATACTTTTAAGATATATATTTTAATTTTATAGTTATGTGTGTGTGTGTGGTGGGACCCTTCCCCGGACCCTCACCTCGCGGGGATGCCAATGTGCACCGGGCTGCCCTTTTGTGTGTGTGTGTGTATAATTTGTTTCATAATCAAGGTTCAAAATTTCAAACTTGTACCTTACAACTTTATGATATGTACTTTATAAATTTAATTTTAGTTTATGACATGTAAATTGCAGCTCTATGGTATGTATGCATCTTATGTGGTTTCTATTGGCCTCTTTACTTATTTTGGCTTAGTACTCACTTTTCATGAATCTCCAACTGTCATTCTAATGTTCCATGTCAGATGACCTTTTGCCCTTTCCTCATTGAACTTCTACTGTCAAGTTGTGCAGCAACCTGCTGTTACTGAGTTATCTTTTTCCTTTCATTTTTCTGCAGTTGACGGTGCTGACAGTGTACATCTTTCTTTATCTGGTAGGTTGACAATTCTACTAGTGTCAATACCACATTTACCTGGCAGATATATCATGCTGTGTGTGACTGGCTGGATTTTATATTATAGTGTTTTTATATTAATTTTAAATAATACTTTTGATGGTTTTGTATTTACTTAGGCAACTTTATTTATATCATTTGTCATTATGACATGAATTGTTTTTTTAAAGCTTGAGATGAGGTTATTGATCTAGAAATTTCTTCACTCTTAAGATGGCATTTATAGAAAAACATTATTGTTAGAAAAACAGTATCAAGCAACTGGGAGGGGTTTTGTTGTCCGGCATATAAAGTTGAGCGAAAACTACAGGCTTTATTCCCGGAGTCATTTTGTCAAAGGGTATATCCTTTTCTCCTTGTCATGTTGCTCGTATAGTGTCTTGAACAGTCTTTGAGCTGTATGGCTTTCTCATTGCAGGCTTGAAGTTGTGCTTTTGTTGATTGTTTTTCTTGCTTATGGCTATAATGATGGTGGTGCGATAGGCTACATTCTGCTTTCTATCAGCAGTTGGTTTATGGCCCTCTCTTGGCTATTTGCTCCCTACCTGTTCAATCCATCCGGTTTCGAGTGGCAAAAGTAAGTTGGGGGGTTTGTGACTTAAAAGCTATCTAGCTTTTGTGGACATCAACAACTTTGCTTAATTTAATTATACTAATTCATGTTTCCATTTGTTATGTCTAGGACTGTGAAGACTTCAGTGATTGGACAGATTGGCTTCTTTATAGAGGTGGAATTGGTGTTAAGGGTGAGGAGAGTTGGGAAGCGTGGTGGGAAGAAGAATTGGTGATTTCTCTACATCTCTAAACTTGCCAAACTACTATTTCTTAAGCTGTATCATCTTAACTGTATACTTTGGCACCTAAACCCCTTTCCAATGGTGTCCATGTCAATTTTGCATAATAATTGAGTCCATGATGGTTAATTTCAATTTAAGCAGAATTCAGGGAGCATAGTGGCAGCCTGAAAGCAACTGATCCATTCTTCAGTACAGGTTGAAAAGTTTGTATGTAGGTTGTTTAGTCTTGAAGCTAGTTGATACGCCAGATATAGAATAATAGATCCAAAAGGTTGAACAAAGACATCTACCATATACCATCAGACCATCACCAATTCACCACCCACCAGGCCACCACTTCCACCTCAAACTGAAGCATGGAGAATGGAACATAAAGCAAAGAAAGCTTAGTATGAACCTGAGAGATAGCATCATAACGAGCGATTCCCCAAGCAGCTTCCTTAACTGCCAAAGCAAAAGGTTCACATGGAATACGCCTACATTATTGCATCCAAACAAGCATAAGTCATTTGCAGAACACAGAAAAGTTGCATAATAAGAGAAATATCATATTCTTAATCAGAAAGACGTTTCAGGACATGTAAATGAAGATTTAATATCGCCAACCATTAATCTCATGGAGGCATAGGTCTAGTGGATCTGAGATGGCTTACCATTTTGCAAATCGAGCACCCTGATTATAATACTCAGCAGACCTTGAAGCCAGGCCATCTAACCCTTGGCACCAAGATTCATTGTTTGAGCCTGGCAGAGGAACCAACATCTGCAATGCAAAGAGTGAGGACATAAAATGAGGTCATTGATCAGTATTTACAAGTAACAATCGAATGTGGAAGACGTTCAAACTGTCATACCTTGTCGACCTTGATGACAGGCACGACATTCTCATCAAGTAAGCAGTCGACAATTTCTTGCCATCCGTTGTAGACTGGTAGAGTGTTTCCTCAAACAGAATGACACTAGAAATGTGTTCGCCAAGACCAGGAGTTGTCAGTAAGAGCTGCCTATACATCTGACGATTGTTCTCAGTGTTATCTAAGCCAATTGATGCCAGTCTCTTCCCACAAGTTGCATTCGATTCATCAATGGCAAGAATGCCACGTGCAGGAGAAGCAATAGATTTCTGCGAAGTTAAAATTCAGTATTTAAACATTAAACATGTAGAAGTATACTTGATCATGGAACATGATTAACTATCACATTGTCGATACAATAAAAACTTATGCAACATATATAGGGGATGTATACATCTAGGTGCAACTCTCAAGATCAAATATCACCATCAAATTGATGATACAAGTAAAAAAAAAAGATATACTTGGTATGTCAGTACTCGAGATCACAAGCACCACCACATATAACCAAACCTAACATAAAGTAACCTTTTAAAGGGGGAGGATCATGCTGTCTAATTCAATAAATGTATAATTCGTTTATTCGTTATCCCCACACCCCGGAAATCACAATCACGAGCATATTGGCTTGTGGTACATTGTATAGTAGTACATTTTTGAACTGCCTTAGGGAATCAAATTTCAGAATCCAAAATTCCAATACCCATTCCGAGCACCAAAACTTATGGTCTGGTGTTCCAAGTGACATTCAACAACCAAACATAGGGACAATAATCTAGACTAGTACTAAAATTCCAGAGTAAGTTTAACAGAACACTGCTATTCAATTGAACCTAAGCTAATTTTGACTAGTATTATATACTCCCTCTACTCCTTGTTGTTCCCGTTTAGATTTGGTCACAAGATTTCAAACAGGAACAACTTTTGGGAACAAAGGGAGTACTTGCGATTGCTACAAGCCATTGCAATACAAATTCACAGTTTCTAATTCAGGCAGTTTTAGTTGGCTAACCAATTAGATATCAGCTACACTAACAGAAAACAATCAAAACAAGATAAACTGCAATTCTTAATGTTTATTTCTTTTTACAATATGATCAAAAGCTTTCATTAAATGAATCCAATTTTCAGGACCAAATTTCCTATATTCTATCACATCCACCATTCATATCTTATATCTTCTATTAAAGATATAGAACAACTTAGACAAATGATCAGTCCAAAATACAACAAAAGTGAAAAACCAAACCATCAAGCTTAAGAAAACAAGCAACAAATGAGATAAAAGCATAGACAACATACAGCAGTGCTAACAAGCTCATCTTAGCTTAGTTAAGTATAGGGAATAAGAAAAAGGCAGAAGAATTTTTGAGAAACTAGTTGCACGCCACGCGATGCGCACCGCGTTTCAACGTCGTTATGCTTAAATGTAATATGATTTTTTAGTAATCGCTCCGTTAGGATGATTATGAGAGAATTAAAGATGATCCTGAATACATAAGCATATAATATGAAGGAGATAGTGATTGTGTAAGGCTAATTATAATTGTGTCATAATATGAATTTGCAAGCAGGATAATAAGATATAGCATGTAGGTAGCATAACAAGTAGCATAAAGATGCTAATATGTCTTTGTGTCACGGTCCGGGAGTTTGGACCCCAAAACGTGCGGCGCGCTCTAGCCTTTTGGCGGCAAGAACGCTAGCCTTGAGCGGAAGAGGGGCTTGTGAGCACAAAGCAACACAAGCGGGCAATAGAATCTCAGGAGCACTCACGTCTATCTGGGCGACGGAGTGCGGGTGGTCGGGGCTTGTGACGGCCGATACTTCAAAGCGGGCACAAGCGGGTCCGAACCACGAGTCCTTAGCGCATCAAGTTGGGTTGGAGGGGAGCTAATATGCAAGTAAGACACAATATCTATAAAGGTCTAACAACAAACAAGCATAAAAGCAAGGCAACACTTGGTAGAAGGCTTTAAGATTTCATTAATCATTCGCCCTCTAAAGAGCTTTAAATGACATACAAAGAGAATCCCTAGTGAACACTGATCTGACAGTAACACAATAATGGGACCTCAAGCAAAGAAAACATAACCTAAACTCTAGGAAAGCACTTAAATGGAATCTAATACATCAAAAGGAGTTGGATTCTAACACTTTGACACGAAAATCTTTCTAGTTACTCATTTCACTATGATATTTTTCAAAAGACATTGAATCCTTATCATTAATCTTTGATTGAATAATCGAATGAACCTATAATTCATCCGGAATTTTGATCACAGCATAATTATAGCTTATACAAATAACATCAGAACAGACCCATCAGAATAGACTCATTCCTAAATTATGATCACAGCATAATAATAGCTTATACAAATATTATTATGACTTGCTAGATTCAGACCTTATCACAGACTAGAAAGGCATCACTTCTTTCCATCCACTCTAGAAGGCATGACAATTGAAAATCATGCTCACAATTTGTCAACATTCGAGGGTTTATACAACGCATTACTTTATAATAGAAAATCTAGTACCTTCAAGACAGATAAGACATGTATCCTTTCCTAAGGGACTAACTCATAAGCCTCAGTAGGTTTTGAAATTTCCACATCAGACTTTGACGGTGAGGCAAGCAATATATCAGCAAGAGTTTTTCCTTCAGATTTCCCAACATGATCAATAGGAGTCAATATATCAGAGTTATCGGCAACAACATTTTCAGCAATGCCTGCAGGTTTCAGCTGTTTGGTTGTATCAATTTTATTAGATGCTTGGTTTCCAAGAGTACAGAATGGAGTTTGTGGGAGCCCAAAAAGCACATTGAACGGAATGGGTGCAGGAGGAGATCAGAAAGTATCAGGGCTTGATGTGTCAAGATTTAATCCAACCAGCAGCCCTGTTGACAAACCAGAGGCTGTTCCGTGATATGCTCTCAAGTTTTCCTACTCTTCCAAGGATGGGGGACTCTGCATCAAACAGAATGAACAATGAGCCATCCAAAGTTGTAGTTAAGTGCTCAAACAACCAAAATTGTAACAAAATGATTTTTGAGCTAATTTACATGAATAGTGTTCTATTCAGAAGAAATCCCTGAACCAAAAGCATGATTGCCAGAAAAAATCATGCATATATGTTAATCAATTAAATTTTATAATGCAAGACAAAATTTCCAAAAGCTAGAGATTATAGGTTAAGAAAACGACTACTTAACACCGAGCTATTCGAAACTTGGAAATTTGGAGTATATTGCAGAAGTTGTTCGTGAGATAAAAATATTTAATCAGCTTGATGTACTTTTCTCGGAAGGCTAATGTGTGAAATTTTAGCTGAACGGCTAATTCTGAGCCTGATGAGTGAATGTGAAACTGTCTCAGATTATAGATTGATCACTTGACGATGCTTCTGATGTCTAACAAGCCAAAGGAAGTGATATATATAAGTTCATCATCAACATCAGAAGCATCATATTAAACTACTGTTTCCTTTGGCTTGTTTGACAGACTACAAGCAGTCAAGCAACCTAATTTACCAGAATACAGCTTAGAATTCAGAATCAAATGCATTTTCAACACAGATACATTTAATAGTCACAGATGTCACAGCCATATGTAAAGGGTATGCCATATACATATATACAGCTAAATACACCATCTATTCAAATAGAGACTACATATAGAAGAATTAAAATATAGAGTATATACCTAAAAATCAGAAGAATTCCAAAAATCTAATCACTAAATATTCATTCATCTCAAATATTCATTCATTCCACAAGGAATTGTTTCCAGAGTTGAAACCTTTAGACCATCATACGAAAAGGGTAATCTTAATGGTAACCTATGTAAACTCACCAAGATGGTCAATATTGCAATCATGAACACGAGAAAGCTCCTCCTCCGTGAGATTATGATAATATGAATTTGTCAAATCAATATTATGAAAAAGATTAACCCATCTGATGAAGTAATGGTATAAGTTCGACGCAAAGCATTATAAAGATAGGCATAGGTCATATATATATCAAATTCATAGATTGGGGGCCGATAATAGCAAGCGTATCCGTCTCCGTGAACTGCAATGCTTCAGGAAATGATTCATGTTTGTTTTACGATAAACCAAACTGCAAATTGCATCAACCTGTTTACTAAAAGTCTTGTATATACTAAATATCTAATATATAGTCTCCTATTTTTACTTCCTACAAAGCCATCAATTAAGCTTAATTTAATCAATCTCATCTTGACTCAAGATTTATCAGAATATAAACCAAAAATTATAAATCGATATTTCATGCGTGCAGATACTAATGTGGCTGAGCATGTTAAAAGTTGTTCATATATAATTTTTCCAACCGACTCATCCGCATTCGGTATTATATTCCTAGTAACAATCACATTATAATGCGATATGCCGTTGCTAACTCCAAAAGTCCAAAATGTGAAAGCACAACATTACACACATCTTCTTTAACTGCTATTATAAAGCTTGCTATTCATTAAATTTATAAGGTGTACTTGCTAGTGAAAGCATGTAAAAATACATTTTCGCGTACCTACTTGAATATACCATCTTCAGTTTCGCCCCAAAATGGACGTCTTCCACAGAGCAACATTTAGCCATTTAGGTGATGACACTAATACTCCAGACATCAGACTCTAGGCCTGACTTTCTTTTCAGTACTTCTGGGGCAACATAGTAGGCACTGCCAACAAAATCTTTGAATATTTTCTCTATAGGAAGCAAAATGTTTGTGCCACATTGTCAAACGTTTGCGATAAATCAAATATAAGTCAGGTTGGACAAGAGAAATGTCTACCCACAAGCAGCAAGTGCATATTGACATTCCCCTTTCTACTCACCAGGTTTTATGAAATCTGATAATCCAAAGTCTGTGGCCTTTCAACTTTTCAAGATGAAATCTCTTCAGGCGCTTTGAAAAAAAAAGTTCTACAAACAAGCAGCACATTGGAATAAAACATAAACTTCCATCATAATTCATCTACTGCAATTGAAATGTAAGGTCCATATTTTCAAAAGAAAATCTACCTCGGGCTTCATATCACGGTGCTACCAGACCATGTAAGTGGCAATGAGCAGCAACTTTCAGCAACTGACGGACCACCACAGTTGCATCTTTCTCTGAATATCGGTTATCCTTTCTGATTTTAGTAACATAAGAAATTAGCATTAGCACACATACATATTGTCACATCACCAGGTACAATCATGAATCGCTGGCAGAGTAGATTATTGCTTACTTGGCTAGTATGCAATTCAGCAACACTTCACCTTCACACAACCTGATGACAATGATTATCAACGTCATATTCAAATAACATGGTGATAAAGGAATTAGGGGTAAACAATTACTCAAATTTTACTTTTATTGAAGATGAACTACCATCAATTTGTGATCCCCAAACTTTTATATATAAAATGAATTATATTTTTAGTGAAGATGAACTACCAAGAGATGTCATTAAAGACAATTCAATTACCAATTTGCTGATAGCATTAACACAAAATAATTACGATACACTCGTAACCTAGCATCTCCTCAAAATAATTATGATACACTTGTAACACAGCATTTCACACTTGATACACTTGTAACAAAGTAATTCAACAAACAAAGATAAATGTGTCCTAGTGGTTAGATATGGGCCTTGAGATGAACAAGTTGCTAGGAATTAGCTCTCAAATCAGTAAGCAAGCAAGCTAATTAGATAGAAAAGGATAGCTAAGAGGGATAAGTTGTATTATCAAACTGATTGTTCAACAATACAATGCCTTCTTTCGAGAGGAAGGTGCTCTCCAACAAGTCAACAACAGACTTCTTAACTATATTCAACATGATGATTATTCCTCCTAATGAGGTCTATTTATAGAAAATACCCCTAACAAACCTCTAGCTTATTCCCCAAGTTACTACTAATAGACTATGACTAATGTGCCCTTCCCCTAAATATTGATTCCTTGCATT